ATCAGCAAGTACATCCGCTCGCCCACCAAGGAGGGCTTGGCTGTCATCGACTGGGAGGAGGGGCGGGCCCCTCCCAACTGGAAGCCCAAGGACATCTACCGGGAGGTGTCCCAGCAGCTGGTGTACCAGCGGCACCTCCCGCGAGGTCCAGTGAGGTCCCGCGAGGAGATGAACAAGCAGGCGGTGTTCGAGTTCGAGTCGGCAGCCCGGCAGTTCATGGTGAGCACCCTGCGCATGGCCAAGAGCTTCCGCCCCAAGCAGCTCTGGGGGTACTACCTCTTCCCCGACTGCTACAACCATGACTACAGCAAGAACAAGGAGAGCTACACTGGGCAGTGCCCGGATGTGGAGAAGACACGGAACGACCAGCTGGCATGGCTCTGGAAGGAGAGCATGGCTCTCTACCCCTCCATCTACCTCGACCTGCTCCTGGCATCCACTGCCAACAGCCGCAAGTTTGTGCGGGCACGGGTGATGGAGGCCATGCGCATCTCGCAGCAGCACCATGACGGCTACTCCCTGCCCGTCTTCGTCTACACTCGTCCGACCTATGTCCGCAAGCTGGATGTGCTCAGCCAGGTAGGGTTGTGCCACCTGGATGTCCTTGTCCCTAGCCCCGGGAACCTGGGCTCTGGGTTGGCCAAGGTGGTCCCTCTGCCTGTGTCCCATTCCAGTCCCCAGAGTGGGATGGCTCTGGAGGCTGGTGGCTGCTCTCCTGGTGCCACCAGCATCCTTTGTCTGTCCCCATGTGGGGTGGGAAGCAGCATGTTTGGGCATGGGGCTGGCCCTGGGGACCAGGAGGGGTGCCCAGCCTGCCTCTCCCCTTCCAAGGGAGGGTCATGGTGTGGGGACCTCCAGCTTAACCCCTCTGCGTGTGGATGAGGGGGTGCCACAAACTGTTCCCACTTATGGGCAAGGTGTCTGGCAGCAGGACTGGCACCAATGGTCACTGTCACCAGGGAAGTGCCTGCAAGGTGCTGCAGGACCCTGGGGTACGTGAACCTACAGCCCCTGTGCTGTGCTGGCTTCACCCCAAGGAGGAGGGCAGTGTTGGGAAACCTCGTCCCCAAGGAGCTGGGACAGTCCCCTCTCCCTGATCCTGACCATAGATATGGGTTTTGCCTCCCTGACCCCGCAGTGGCTCTTTGGGGTGCATTGTGCTGGGGGTTGGGGGTGCTGTGTGGGGTCCGTAGGCACTAACCGGGCTCTGTCCCTGCAGCTCGACCTGATCTCCACCATCGGAGAGAGTGCAGCGCTGGGTGCAGCCGGGGCCATTTTTTGGGGCGACACAGATGACACTGGAAGCCGGGTAGGTTTGGGGTCAGCATCCCCCTGGTGAGGTAGATGATGGGTGGGGGGGTCACCTGCCCCCAGAGGG